AAAAAAAAAAAAGATGCATAACTCTTAAAAAAAAAAGTTGATATAGCATCTGTGAGACAACAAATGAACTTGAATCATACCAACACATTAGCTACAACACAACACTTGAATCGTAATTTTTTTTGGTACTAGTCCTGGGACTTGAACTCAGGGCTTTGTTCCTGAGCTATTTTTTTGGTTAAGGTTAGCACTTGAGCTAACCTTGAGTATAGTATATTTGTTACTTGTTTTCTTTTCCTTTGGTGCTTGGGATTGAACCCAAATCATTGCCCTTGCTAATCATTGCTCTATCACTAATTTACTCCCAGCCTCTGTTATTTACCAGAATTTAGAAAGCTTGAATTAGTATATCAGATTGCTTGTGTTTGTGTGTGTGTATGTATGTATGTGTGTGTCTATCTGTCTGTCTGTCTCTCTCTGTCTCTCTCAGCTGTCATGGGGCTTGAACTCAAGGCCTAGTTGCTGTCCTTAAGCATTTTTGCTGAAAGCTAGCATTCTGCCACTTGAGCTATAGCTCACTTCCAGCTTTTTGGTAGTTAATTAGAGATAAGAGTCTGATAAGCTGGGTGCTGGTGGCTCATGCCTGTAATCCTAGCTACTCAAGAAGCTGAGATCTGAGGATCACAGTTCAAAGCCAGCTGGGACAGGAAAAGTCCATGAAACTCTTATCTCCAGTTAACCAGCAGAAAACAGGAAGTGGCGCTGTGGCTGAAGTGGTACAGTGCTTGCCTAGAGCTGAAGAGCTTGGGCAGCACCCAGGCCCAGAGTTCAAGCCCCACAACAGAACAGCAAAACAAAAAGAAAAACAACAGAGACTGATAGATTTTTTCTTTCCTAATCCATCTTCAAACCATGATTCTCAGATCTCAGCCTTTAGCTAGCTTTATGGGTGTGAACCACCACCATCACCTAAGTTCCCAGCTCAGCTTTTATTTTTTTAATTTTTTTATTGTGAAAATACCATACAGAGGGGTTACAATTACATGGGTAAGGTAATGAGTACATTTCTTCTTTTTTTTTTTTTTTTTTTTACATTTTGTTTGTTTGTTTTTTGGGTCAGGTCATGGGGCCTGAACTTTTGAGCCTGGGCGCTATCCCTCAGCTCTTCAGCTCAAGGCTAATGTTCTACCACTTGAGCCACAGCACCACATCTGGCTCTTTTTTCTTTTTGCTTATGTGGTGTTGAGGAATCAAACCCAGGGCCTCATGCATGCAATGTAAGTGCTCTACCACTAAGCCACCTTCCCAGACCATGAGTACATTTCTTATCAAGCTTGGGTGCTGTCCCTTAGCTCTTCAGCTGTAGACTAGTGCTCTACCACTTGAGCCTCAGCCCCACTTCCGGCATTTTCTGCTTATGTGTTGCTGAGGAATTGAACCAAGGGCATCATGCATGCAAGGCAAGCACTCTACCACTGAGCCACCTTTCTAACCTGTCAGAATGCTTTTAAAATTTGTCATTTATGCCAGGCCCTGTGTGGCTCACACTTGTAATCCTCGCTACTCAGGCATTTGAGATCTGAGAATCACTGTTCAAATCAAAGCTGGTAGATTACCAGCTTTGAGCAAAAAAAGGAGATAAAGAACATGAGGATTGGGGCTGGGAATGTGGCTCAAGTGGTAGAGTGCTAGCCTTGGGCAAAAGAAGGTCAGGGACAGTCCCCAGGCCCTGACTGAGTTCAAGCCCCAGGACTGGCAAAAGAAAAAAAGAGAGAACATGAGGACTTAAGTTCAAGTCCTGGTATCAGCATACACAAAAAAAGTTATTTTTACCCTTAAAATATGAGCACTAGTCTTAGGTATGTTATTTTATTCCAGAAGTAATAAAACTTAGAGATTTTACAGAATTGGAATAAGAAAATAATGAAATTTAGTTTTTAATATTGCAAAGGTTGGCTTAATACATTTTTACCAAAAATAGGAAAACTTTTTTTTTTAATGGAGTGTTTTTGCTTTCATAGTGGAAAATCTGAATATATTGAACCTGCCAAACGAGCTCATGTTGTGCCACCACCAAGAGGAAGGGGCAGGGGAGGTTTTGGACAGGGTATACGACCCCATGATATTTTTCGTCAGAGAAAACAGAACACAAGTAGACCTCCATCTATGCATGTGGATGACTTCGTTGCAGCTGAAAGTAAAGAAGTGGTCCCTCAAGATGGAATACCTCCACCAAAACGGCCACTCAAAGTATCACAGAAGATTTCTTCCCGTGGTGGGTTTTCAGGAAATCGAGGAGGACGAGGTGCTTTTCATAGTCAGAATAGGTTTTTCACACCACCTGCTTCAAAAGGTAACTATGTATGTATATATTTTAATGGGTTAGAATATTGGAATGTTATTACTTGTGATTCAGATAAAGGGTGATACAGAGAAACTATTTTTTTTGTGTTTAAAGTTGAGCTGTCTCTAGACAAATATTACTATTTGTAGAGTCCTCTGCTGGATAGAAAAATAGAAAAGAAAACCCTATAAACCTTTTTTAGTTATTAGCCTTTGCTATATTGTGTTTTTAGTGATTTCAAAGAACAGTTTTGCAAGTTATTTTCCTTCTTACATTGGAAATATATTCTGAGTAATACCCATACATTATTTTCACAATTGAACTAATTTTTATCAGTTTCCTTAAGATAGTTCTGTGTAATACATGCCTCTTCCCTTATCTGTTGTCTTTATTTTCAAACAAGGTTTTTATATGTGGCCTAACCCAGCCTTGATCTCATGATCCTTCAACACCAACTTCCCAAGTGCGAGGATTACAGGCATCTTTCACCATGACCAGTTTTAGAAATTGCTCTTTACTAGCAGACTGATGATATGTTTTTATTCCTGCTGATTTAGGTGGATATATATGGAAGAAAATAGGAATCTACATTAATGGATATCAGGAACAATTACAAGCGCCACATGTTGTTGTAGCCTCATACCAACCCCATACTGTAGGTTCTGCTAATAACCTGATTTACCAAAGAAAATATTGTCATACAGTTGATCAGATCACATAACTATAAGTGGCAGAAAAAGTATGGAAACCAGTTGGGCGCTGGTGGCTCACACCTGTAATCCTAGCTACTCTGGAGGCTGAGACCTGAGGATAGCAGTTCAAAGCCAACCCTGGCAGGAAGTCTGTTGAGACTCTTTATCAGTAATTAATCACCAGAAAACCAGAAGTGGTGCTGTGGCTCAAGTGGCAGAGCACTTGCCTTGAGCTGAAGAGCTGAGGGACAGTGCCCAGACCTGGAGTTCAAGCCCCATGACCGACCAGAAAAAAAAAGTATGGAAACTGATAGCTGCTGCTCATAACCACTTTCTCATTCTATCAGTACTGGTGCAATCAAAAGAATAACAAGGAAAAAAAAATGACAATTGAAATGAGAGAAACAGATTTTGATTGTGTTGTTTTGTTTTTAGGAAATTATAGTCGTCGAGAGGGAACAAGAGGGTCCAGTTGGAGTGCTCAGAATACTCCTCGAGGAAATTACAATGAAAGTCGTGGAGGCCAGAGCAATTTTAATAGGGGCCCTCTTCCTCCATTACGACCACTTAGTTCTACAGGTACATGGCTATCCCCACTTGATTCTGCTGAGAAAGGGGAGATGAATTCCTTCTTTTCAAATTGTTGAATGTCATATACTCTCATAACAAAAGTATATATTTTTTCTTTTTCAAAATCATTACCAAGTGATTCAGAAGTAGCTTTGGTTTTATTACAGTATCAGTTTAATTTGGCAAATTCTTTTTTTTTTTTGTCAGTTATAGGGCTTGAACTCTGGGCCTGGGTATTGTCCCTCAGCTCTTCAGCTCAAGGCAAGCACTCCTCTTGAGCCACAGTGCCACTTCAGGTTTTCTGGTGGTTTGTTAAGAGATAAAGAATCTCATGAACTTTCCTGCTAGGGCTGGCTTTGAACTGTGATACTCAAATTTCAGCCTCCTGAGGAGCTAGTATTACAGACATGAGCCACCAGCACCCAGCCCAAATTGTATTTATTTATTTATTTTGGGTACGATCGTGGGGCCTGAACTCTGGGCCTGGGCACTGTCCCTCAGCTCTTCAGCTCAAGGCTAGCGCTCTACCACTTGAGCCACAGCACCACTTCCGGCTTTTTTCTTTTTGCTTATGTGGTGCTGAGGAATTGAACCCAGGGCTTCATGCATGGAAGGCAAGCGCTCTACCACTGAGCCACCTTTCCAGCCCCAAATTGTATATTTTAAATAGACCAACTATATGATTATATAAGAATAATATCTCCAATAAACCACTAGAAAACCAGAAGAGGCACTGTGGCTCAAGTGGTAGAGCACTAGCCTTATGCTGAAGAGCTGAGGGACACTACCCAGGCCCGAGTTCAAGCCCCACGACCACCACCAACAAAAATAACACACACACACACGCACACACAAAATTTGGCTGGTGCCAGTGGCTCATACTTGTAATCCTAGCTACTTGGGAGGCTGAGATCTGAGGATCATGGTTTGAAACCAGCCCAGATTATGAAGTCTATGAGATTCTTGTCTCTAGTTAACCACAAGAAAGATGGAAATGGAACTGTGGCCCAAGTGTTAGAGTGTTTAGGCCCTGAGTTCAAGCCCCAGGACCAGCACAACAAAAACATAGATAGATAGATAGATAGGATACATTAGGTAAGAGTATATACTTTGACAGTCCTTATCACATTCATAGAGCTTTTATGTGAGTTTATTCTGACACAGAATAATTCTTTCCTTGTGATTGTTGCCTTAACATTAATATTTTAGTAATAAGGAAAGAAAGGATGGTGGAACTAAAACCTTTTTTTTTCTTTTTAAACAGGCTACCGTCCAAGTCCTCGGGATCGTGCTTCTAGAGGTCGTGGGGGACTTGGACCTTCTTGGGCTAGTGCAAATAGTGGCAGTGGAGGCTCAAGAGGAAAGTTTGTTAGCGGTGGCAGTGGTAGAGGTCGTCATGTACGGTCATTTACTCGATAAAAATGCTTTTGGGAACACACTAAGTATATATGAACATTTCATGAGGACAAAAATAATAAGACATTGAAGGACCAATTTAGACTTAGCAGTTATATCTGGAGACATCTGAGAGAATATTTTTTATCTGAAGAAAGCAGATTTTGTTTGATACCTAATGAGATTTCAATAAAAATCCAAACTTTGTATGTATGTTTGTATATATTTTCCCCTTTTTATATGACTTATTTATTTAGAAAAATTTCTAGGTAGAAAGAGAAAAACTAAATGACTTGTTTTATATTTTTCTTGCCTATTCCACAGGTGTTCCCAGACTTTTCTCAGCCCATGACACCCTTTAGTGTCTCTGTAATTTTTTCACAGCATCCCTAGGCCAAAAGGAAATATATCACTTTTGTTTATTAAAATTAGGTCCAAGCAACTTAAGAATTTACTTAATCACTACTAGTAATGAGATCACAACTAGCACTGCACAATGTTTTAAATCAGTATAATTTCCTGTTCACTATTCTTGCACAGTACTTCTCATCAAACTGCTGAAAGTTTTATAAAGATAATACTGTCATTGCGAGGAGGAATATATTATCTAATGATGAAAATATAAACTACCTCGAATTAATAGTGTTTTGGTTCCCAGCAGGTGTTGCGTTTCTTCAAAAATTTAAAATATTCTGTGGCACTTACATTAATTTATTAAGGTGCCTAGTACAGTTTCAGAATCATAGCTGCACCAAAAAAACCCATTTCTCTTTATGTTGGAAAGAAATATATACAAACTTTGTGTTTCAGCTTTGGACCTATTGATGCTATTTTATTATGGTTATTTAAAGCCCAAAATGAGGCACATCCTAATACTATTATTTTGGGGATCAGAAACATCTAGTAAAAGCTGAATTTTATATTAAAAAGAAAGCTTATAACTTTGTGAAAGTAGCCATATTTTCCCCAAGGTATGTCTTAACACACTGAACCTATATATCTGACATAAAATACAGAGTTCTCATGAACAAAACATAAGTGTATGTGTCTCATTCTCTTGTTTCATCAATCTTTGTGTGAAAGAAAGTCTCTGTTCATTAAGATAATGGCAAGGCTGGGGATGTAGCTCAATGATAAAAAGTACTTGACTAGCCGGGCTCTAGTGGCTCACGCCTGTAATCCTAGCTACTCAGGAGGCTGAGATCTGAGAATCACGGTTCAAAGCCAGCCCAGGCAGGAGAGACTGTGAGACTCGTATCTCCAATAAACCACCAGAAAACCGGAAGTGGCACTGTAGCTCAAGTGGTAGAGCGCTCACCTTGAACTGAAGAGCTGAGGGACAGCGCCCAGGCCCAGAGTTCAAGTCCCATTACCGACCAAAAAAAAAAAATCTTCTTTATTGGGCTGGGAAGGTGGCTCAGTGGTAGAGTGCTTGCCTTGCATGCATGAGGCCCTGGGTTCCATTCCTCAGCACCACATAAGCAGAAAAAGCCAGAAGTGGCGCTGTGGCTCAAGTGTTAGAGTGCTAGCCTTGAGCTGAAGAGCTGAGGGACAGCGCCCAGGCCCAGAGCTCAGGCCCCATGACTGGCAAAAAAGAAAAAAAAAAAGTACTTGACTAATGTGTATTAGGCCCTCATTTTAATCCTCAGCATTGCAACACACACACACACAGGGCTACATATGTGACTATTATAATAGAGCTCTTGCCTAGCCAGCCATTTCAGGAGGCGAAAGAGTCTCAGTTGTAAAGATTCTGATTTTAGGGCTGGGAAGGTAGCTCAGTGGTAGAGTGCTTGCCTTGCATGTCTGAGGCCCTGGGTTCGATTCCTCAGGACCACATAAGCAAAAAGAAAAAAAGCCGGAAGTGGCGCTGTGGCTCAAGTGGTAGAGCGCTAACCTTGAGCTGAAGAGCTGAGGGACAACACCCAGGCCCAGAGTTCAGGCCCCATGACCGACCCCCCCAAAAAAAATTCTGATTTTAAATGAAAGAATAGAAATATACATACTGCCAGGCGCCAGTGGCTCACACCTGTAATCCTAGCTACTCAGGAGGCTGAGATTTGAGGATCGTGGTTCAAAGCCCAGGCAGGAAAAGTTCGTGAGACTCTTGTCTCCAATTAACTATTCAGAAAACCGTAAATAGCGCTGTGGCTCCAGTGTAAAGCCTTGAGCTTAAGAGCTGAGCTGAGGGACAGTGCCCAGGCCCAGAGTTCAAGCCCCATGACTGACAGAAAAAGAGAGAAATCTACATGCCTAGTTTTCTTGAAAAACTCAAATGTCTTTATATGTGCTATAATATGCCGTAACACAATGGTGTAAGGAATGAGTTTCTTGCAGTTCTGATAGTTTTTGGAGTCTTGGATACACAGGAACAAGGTGTTAACATGATTGGGTTTGGTGAGGGACTTCTAGCTGTGTTTTTACATGGTCTTCCTTCAGTGCATGCTTGAGGAAGGAGCTGTCATCTTTCTCTTAAAAGGGTACTAATCCTACCTTCATTAGGATTTTGCCTTCTAATACCATCACATGAGTGTTAGAGCTTCTACATAGGAGCACAAACTTCAATCCATAGCACCAAGATAACCTAAATCCTCTTCAGTCCTGAAACATGAAGGTTATCTTCTGTAGAGATACATTTCACATAGGTAAAATTAGAAATTTGAGCCAGGTGCTGGTGGCTCACACCTGTAATCCTAGGCTGAGATCTGAGGATAACAATTCAAAGCCAGCCCAGGCAGGAAAGTCCTGAGACTTTTTTTTTCTGTTCATCATGGGGCCTGAACTCTGGGCCTTGGCTCTTCAGCTCTAGGCTAGGACTCTACCACTTGAGCCACAGTACCACTCCAGCTTTTTCTGCTTATGTGGTGTTGAGGAATGGAACCCAGGGCCTCATGCATGCAAGGCAAGCACTCTGCCACTGAGACACCTTCCCACCCCTCCCTGAGATGCTTATCACCAAGTAAACACCAGAAAACCTGAAGTGGTGCTGGTGCTCAAGTGGTAGAATGTTCGCCTTCAGCTGAAGAGCTCAAGGACAGCATCCAGGCCCAGACTGAAAGCCCTATGACTGATAAAACAAAAAAATTTGCCCCTAATATCTGACACAAAAATGTAGAAATAGTTAACATTTCCTAGAATATGTTAAATGAGAAATCTGACAAATACAGCATTAAGCTGAATCTTTTTAAGCGTTACATGAATTTATACTGCTGTGCAGACAGTTGTAAAACTTGTTCACTTTTTTTTTTCTTTTGCCAGTCCTGGCTCTTGGACTCAGAAACTGGGCACTGTCCATGAGCTTCATTTGCTCAAGGTTAGCACTCTACCACTTGAGCCACAGTGCTACTTCAGGCTTCTTCTGTTTATGTGGTACTGAGAAATTGAACACAGGGCTTCATGCATGCTAAGCAAACACTACTACTAAGCCACATGCCCAGCCCAACTTTTCCACTTTTAAAAACCTTTTTATAACCTGGCACTGTGACTTACACCTGTAATCCTGCTTGAGCAGGAAAGCCCATGAAACTCTTATCTCCAATTAACTACCAGAAAACCAGAAGTGGCACTGTGGCTCATGTGGCAGAGTGTTTGCCTTGAGCTGAAGAGCCCAGGGATAGCGCCCAGGTCCAGAGTTCAAGCCCTGACAAAAAACCAAAACAAAAAAACACACCTTTTTATTTGTGAGTTATGTAGTTTAGGCTGGCCTTGAATTCAAGATCCTCTCCCTCAATCTCTAAGTGATTTCAGTGTTCTGAAGTTGTATACTGGTAATTACCATTTCATTTTGTATTTTCTGTCTGTGGTACCAAAAAAGTGGACTTTTAAGAGTTTTTTTTGGAGGTAGGGGTCCGGTTGTGGGGCCTGAGCTCTGGACCTGGGCACTGTCTCTCAGCTCTTCAGCTCAAGGCTAGCGCTCTTCCACTTGAGCCACATCGCCACTTCTGGCTTTTTTTCTTTTTGCTTATGTGGTACTGAGGGATCGAACCCAGGGCCTAAGGCATGCAAGGCAAGCACTCTACCACTGAGCCACCTTCCCAGCCCCTTAAGTTTTTTTTTTTTTGGGTCCGGTCGTGGGGCCTGAACTCTGGGCCTGGGTGCTATCCCTCAGCTCTTCAGCTCAAGGCTAGCGCTCTACCACTTGAGCCACAGCGCCACTTCCGGCTTTTTTTCTTTTTGCTTATGTGGTGCTGAGGAATCGAACCCAGGGCCTCAAGCATGCAAGGCAAGCGCTCTACCACTGAGCCACCTTCCCAGCCCCCCCTTAAGTTTTTGTAGCTAGCTTGTTTCACTTAGCATTTATAAAAGATAGCATGTGTCTAAATTGTCTTCATTTTTTTATACTGAATAATACTCCATTGTGAATATATATGACATTTGGTTTATCCATTCATGTGTAGATGGACACTTTGGTGGCTTCTACCTTTTGGCATTTGTGAATAATGCTGTAACAAATCAGTGACACATAGATATATCTCTTTAGAACTTGTGTGTGTGTGTGTGTGTGTGAGATACTGGGGTTTCAATTCAGTGCTTGGGTGCTATCCCTTAGCCTTTGGACTAAAGATTGGCACTCTACTACTTGAACAACATCTCTGCTTCCAACATTTTGCTAGTTAATTGGAGGTAAAAGTCTCATGGGCTTTCCTTGCTGGGCTGGCTTTGAACCAGGATTCTCAGATCAGCTAGGATTATAGACATGAGTCGCAGGTGCACAGCCTTTTTTTTTTTTTTCACTGTATACCTAGAAGTAGAAAAGTGGAATAATATTATCTTAATTTTGTTGTTGTTGTTGTGGGGCTGAACTTTGGGCCTGGGCACTGTCCCTGAGCTCTTCAGCTAAAGGCAAACACTCTGCCACATGAGCCACAGTACCACTTCTGGTTTTCTGGTGATTAATTGGAGATAAGAGTCTCAAGGACTTTCCTGCCTAGGCTGGCTTTGAACCGTGATCCTCAGATCTCAGCTTCCTGAGTAGCTAGGATTACAGGTGTCAGCCCCTGGTACCTGGCTACCTTAAAATTTTTGAAGAACCAAAATATTTTCCACAGTTGATACACAATTTAGCCTTCCCATCAGTGGTGCACAGGCCTTCCAGTTTCTTCATATGACTAGAAACACTTTTTTTTGGGGGGGGGGAGGGATCTGGTCATGGGGCCTGAACTCTGGGCCTGGGCGCTGTCCCTCAGCCCTTCAGCTCAAGGTTAGCACTCTACCATTTGAGCCACAGCACCACTTCCGGCTTTTTTCTTTTTGCTTATGTGGTGCTGAAGAATCGAACCCAGGGCCTCAGGCATGCAAGGCAAGTGCTCTACCACTGAGCCACCTTCCCAGCCCCTAGAAACACTTTTAGTGCAAATGCTAGGTAAATGCTATACACTGAACTACAGTCTTACCTGTTCTTCCTATCTTCTGTTGGTTTATAAATAATAGCATTCTTCATGGATATGTTTTCTGGCTTTTTCTTCAGAAAGTAGAGATAGGTTAGTCTGAGGCCAGTAGGGACAATAGTGATTGAAATCCTATCTCAAAAATAGAGCTGAGAATGTGGCAGCAAAGTCTGTGAGATTCTTATACTCTTATCTCCAGTAACTACAGAAAACCAGTAGTGGAGCTGTGGCTCAAAATAGTAGAGCACTAGCCTTGAGCAAAAGAACTCAAGAACAGCACCTAGGACCTGAGTTCAAGCTCCATGATCGACCAAAAAAGAAAAAAAAGAACAGGTCAAGCTGGGCGCCGGTGGCTCATGCCTGTAATCCTAGCTTACTCAGGAGGCTGAGATCTGAGGATCATGGTTCAAAGACAGGCCTGGCAGGAAAGTCCATGCGACTTTTATCTCTAATAAACCATTAGAAAACCTGAAGTGGCATTGTAACTCAAGTGGTAGAGCGCTCATCTTGAGCTGAACAACACAGGGACAGTGACAAAGCCCAGACTTCAAGCCCATGGCCGACAAAAAAAAAAAAAAATAGGCCAACCATTACTGCACACCTTTAAATCACTCCCTTGGCTCTAATGATCTGGTCTGCCTATTTC